ACACGCGTGACCCCAAAGAGGTATTGGAAGGTTCGGCAAGCACTCCGATGGGGCCTCCGATGTCGTGCTCTTACCGGGCGTGCTTGGGAGATCCTGCTAGGGCACTGTACGTTTTTGGGGGGCTCTGCAGCAGGGATACATTGTGCGTGTTCAGCTCGTTGTACAAATCTATATAGGCTCAGTGGGACTCCGAAAGGTCCCAAGGAAGCACCTAAGAAGCCCCCAAGATGCCTTCGAAGGGGGAGGGAGGAGGGGGGAAGGGAAGGCGGAAGGAGGAGGAGAAGGAGGAGAAAGACGATGACGACGATAACTGCGGACAAAGAGGTGATGTTGGAGACCCGCGCCAGTTCGGATAGGCTGGTGCGCTGCCACGGAGGCCGCGCTTGCCACACGCAGCTGCATGGAGGGGTAGCGGAAGTTCAGATCCCGACCTCCCGACCAGGGGGGACCAGTCACCCATTGACCAAAGCCAGAGGGCAGTAGGAGATACAAGGAGAAGGCAGGCTGAACTCATGGCGACCATCTCAAGCACAAATACTCCTGCTGGGGGAAAACGCCTAGGGAAGCGATAAAAAACAGGCAAGCCTACTAATGAGAGAGGCAGGGTAAGCCCCCGCAGCTGCGGATAAGAGTGGGGCGGCGGGGGTCGCGGGGCGGTTCGTGGGGCGTGTCGCGGGGCGCGTCCTTGTCGCAAGCACGGCGCGTGCGCGTCGCAGGCAGATTGCGGGGCGGGTCGCGGGGCGGGTCGCGGGGCGGGCAAGGGGAATCGCAAGCGAAGCGGGTCGCGCGGCGACGACGACAAAAGAAACGACAACAAGACGGAACAACAAAAGCGAAAGCAATAACTGGCACCGCGGAAAGCCCACTGCGACAACGCACACAAAGACCGTGTAAGACCGCTCGGCCTCAACTTGAAGGCAATAAAACGGCAAACGGAAGGCATGATTGAAGCAATGTGCAAAAGGGAAACATAACTAGCGGCAAAATAACAGAAAATACCGAGAGCAAATTGAAGGCATACCCAAGCAAGCTAAAGACCAGCTCAATGCAAGCTAGAAGCGAAGCCATGTCAAGCTAAATTTCAAACCCGCCACCGTGCCGCTAGGCACGGAGTGGGCGTGTCCTCAGGTCATGGGTCCAATCCTCTAAGCCTCTCTCCTCACTCCTGAAAAATCTGTCAGGGGACCTGGACCCAAAATTACCAAATCTACCGAGGCTTGGCGCGGTTCCCCTGGCGTTCCCAGCGTCTTCCCGCGTGACTTGGCCCAAGAGGGCCCCAAGACGGGCCAAGAGGGCCCGAAGAAGCCCCAAGACGGTCCAAGGAGGCCTCGAGTTGCCGAACGGTCGCTCCAAGACGCTCAAGATGGCCCCCAAGCAGCCAAAGAGGCCTCCAAGACGCCCAAAGGGGCCTCGAAGAGGCCTCCCAAGAGGGCCCCAAGAGGCCAAAATAATTCATGTTCCTTAGGTGTTTCAGGAACTTTGGCGGTCTCGCCGTTTCGGCGTCCCGATGCTCCCAGAGGCCCCCAAGACCGCCCCAAGACGGTCCAAAAGGCACCCAAGAGGACCCCAAAACGGTCCAAGAGGGCCCCAAGACAGCCCAAGAGGCACCCAAAACGGCCCAAGAAGGCCCCAAGGCGGCCCCAAAAGGCGCCCCAAAGAGGAAACACGAATCGAAAATCCTAGCCGTCCGCCCCAAGAGGCCCCCAGTGTGCCCCAAGATGCGCCCAGGAGGCCCCAAGATGCCCCCAAGAGGCCCCAAAGAGCCCCAAAAGAAGCCCCAAGAGGCCCCCAAACGGCCCCCAAGAGGCGTCCAAACTGCCTAAGACGGCACCATGACGGCCCAAACGGCGCTTAAGACTGCCCCAAGAGGGCCCCAAAACAGCCCCAGCGGCCTCCAAGCCGCCCAACATGGCTTCTAAGAACCCCCTGATGTGCCCCAAGAGGGCCCCCAGACGACCCAGACAGGCACCCCAAAGTGCTTCTGACGGCGTCAGACGAGCCAGGAACGCCTGAAGACTACCAAAGATGCCCCCAAGAAGCCCCAAAATGCCCCCAGAAACCACCCAAGAGGCTCCCAGGAAGCTCCTAGGAGGCCACAAGAGTGCGTCAAGAGGCGCCCAAGAGGTCGCCTCCTCCTCCCCCTCGTCCTCATCATCTTCTTCTTATTAGTATTAGTCTTCTTCTTCATATTCGTATTATTCGTATTCTTCGTCTTCTTCGTATTCTTCGCATTCTTATTATTATTATTATTAGTATTATTATTAGTATAATTAGTCTTATTATTCTTCTTATTAACAATAGTAGTCGCAGTGGTATCGCTGTTCTTCTTAAAAGCATGAACAATATTAGTATTATCGCTACTATTATTATTGTTATTATTCTTATTATTGGTAGTATTATTAGTATGATTAGTATTGGTAGTATTATAATTAGTAGTATTACCATTAGTATTATTATTAGTATTGTCATTATTATTAGTATTACTAATATTATTATTAGCATTATTGTATTGCCATTATTACTACCATTATTATTAATAGTAATAATAGTAGCGGTATGCTTCTTTATAGTAGTATTAGCATTAGCGACCTTAGTATTATGCATCGTCGTATTCGTAATATGCGTGGTACTGGTATTATTATTAGTAGTACTAGCCGTAGTCTGATCGTTAGTATTCTTATTACTAGTAGTATACGCTTCTTCGTACGATTCTTCTTAGTAATATTAATAATAGTATTGTCCGTACTAGTGTTCTCATTACTATTCGCATTGGTATTAGTATTTCTATTCGTAGTATTCCTCCTCCTCCTCCTCCTCCTCCTCCTGACCCTCCTCATCCTCATCATGCGCCTCCTCATCCTCCTCCTCCCCCCCCATCCTCCTCCGCCTCCTCCTCCTCCTCCTCCTCCCTCCCCGTTCCGCCTCCGCCTCCGCCTCCGTCTCCACCTCCGCCTCCGCCTCCCCCTCCTCCTCCTCCTCCTCCTCCTTCTCCTGGTCCTCCTCCTCCTCCTTTCTTGTTTCTTCCCACAGCCCTGAGGGCCAACGTCTGAGGTGCCCACTCATGCATACGTCAGCGGTGCGAAGGGCGGCAAGTATAGCGGGGGACGAGGAGAGCAGCAATGGCCAACATCAACCCGACTCGCAATACGGATCGAGCGGGACATAGAGATGGGCAACTGACGCCTCTAGCCATGCATCCCCAGGAGGCGTGGGGGCACAGCGTTGCGAGGCAGCCTGGGCGATAACAGCAGCTAGGTAGAACTCAACCTGGCTGCTGTCAGGAGGGGCCAAAGTCGGCACGGCATTCAAGGACAGGCACTGACGGTCCCCGATGGGCAAACAGCTCGACGCGAGTGTCGGAGACAGCGCCGACAGGGAGCGCAGGAACCTGACCTCGGGGACTTTCCAAATACAGGGCAAATGGGCTTGCGGAGCAGGTGGGTTTAAAGTGAGCAAGGTCGCCAGGCCCGAGGACGCCGCACACAGCGCTAGCGCCAGTGCCGCCCGAAGGCACGCACTGTCGAGCTCAAACTGCCTCCACTCCGAGGGCGACCTAGCTGAAATCCCCCACGGCTCATCGCAGCTCCTTAAAGGCCTGCTTTCTCCACCCTTGGCTTTGCAGCGGGGGGCAGGGCCCCACGAGGTAAGAGGAAGGTCTGCCAAGAGACCAACAACACGCCCAGACAGAATTAAATCGGCAATGAACAACAGCTCCCTATGAAATCCCTCGGTGCAATTCTGGAAAAGTTCGAGGAAATTTAATGACAGAACAAAAACATTCATCCCCGCCGTGGCACTGGAACTCTCCGCTCTATCCTGGATGTCGCCTTGACTCCTGGGAGCTGCACGGAGGATCATAATGTACTTAGTGCCGGGGGGCGTGGGCAGGTGGACTACCGCCTGAGTGGGCGCCTCTTCCTGGATACACACGGGCTGGCAGGATATTCTTGGCATGCTCGACGGAAGGCCCTTGGAAGCAGCCGCCCCCCTCAGCCCAGGGCCTACCGTGAGGACAGGCGGCAGCTGAGCTGACTCCGCATAATGGCCTTTCCCACGGAGCGTGCGAGCTAGCTCCGCGCCCTCCGCCCTAGCCAGCAACACCTGTTCGGGGCTCGACGGGGGGGGGGGGGGGGGGGGGGGGGGGGGGGCGGGGGCGGCCATGAGATCCGCCAGGCACCTCGACAAGCCATGCCGAGCGTGTTTGAGCAATATGAGGTGAGTGTGGAAGTTGAGACCGCATGCCACGCACACGGTGCCTGACACGCAGCTGGGGGCGGGGTCTAAGCGGGGGCGGCACTTCGAACGATGGGAAGCCCATGCGCCCTTGGTGGCCAACACCGCCCCACAATCCAAGCAAGGATACAAGGCAAGGGCCGACGGCGGACGCAGAAACGACGGGAGCGCAAGACCCTCGGAGATGCAGCACCTCCGCCACCCGTCTCTGAATTCTTCGTGACGTTGACCGTCCAAAAACTTAGCCCTAGCAGCAGATTCCGCTCGCTTGCAAATTCGCTTCCAAAACTTTTTACTGCTAGACCTCAGGAGCCACAACCACAACGCAAGGGGCCCTGAGGGCTGGAACTCCCTAGCTAGATTCACGTGTCTGCTGAGCCACAAGAGGTCATCGCAACACAATGCGGACCACGATTCGGGCACTGATGCTAACTCGTCAAGGATCGCCAGCAAGCAAGCCGGCGCCGACTTGAGAAGCCCGGGAAGAAATCGCAGCCGCCTAAGCCTTAACACCAACTCAACGGGCATGAGCTCGCATGTGACAAAGACCCTGTGGTCTGCAGCCGCCTTTCCTGAATTAGAATCGTAGCCGAGTCCAGCCGCCAACCGAAACGGGCTCGAATAGTTGTGCGCCAGGGTCGCCAACTGTTCGACATCTAGCTTGTGCCAAGTAAGGGCATTAAACAGAAGGTGCGAAGTGCACAAGGAGGTAACATAAAGTAGCCCGGCTTTCAAATTGACTTGCTTTCTAGGCAGAACCGTGCGCCTCAGTACCCCGAGAGGACGTCGCTGCTGATGGCATCGGTGTGCCAGCTCGGGTCCCAAAGAAATTTGATGGCCCTGATAACTGCCCAAGTGCTTATAGGTCCTAGTGAGACAAAAGGAGACGCCTAAGGAAGGAACGAGAAGACCAGTGGCGGCCAGGGCCGCACACTCCCCTCGGGCCTTCCTGGAGCCTGTGCCGCCGAAGAAGGCCATGAGCTCCGTCTTGCCCGCCTTCCAGTTCATGGTGAACCCCCTAGACTTGGTTTCTTCGTACATTATCGCGACGAGGGAAATGGCCGCCTCCTTCCAGAGCCTAGCGTCTAACAGCTCGATGCCGTTGACGAGGTCATCCATGAAGGCAGGATCCCATACATCCTCTTCTGCATGCTCGTGCTCTCGACCTCTGAAAATCCTCTGAGACGGGTCCACATCCCTGGTCTTCTGAAGATATCCCAGAGCGCCGAATCTATTGTTGACCGCAACTATGATAGGGTCGAAGGCTATGATGAACAGGAGGTCCGCTAGTGGCATGCCTGGCCTCGTGCCTAGGCGGGGGGATACAACCCTAGTGCTCCCCCGTATTTGGAACCAGCTACATTCCATCACGTCTACCACTGCTTCCAGGAGGTGCTTATTTACGAGCCCGTCCAGGGCGCCAGGCTTGGCGACGAGGGCATGGCAAGGTGGCTCGAGGCAGCTTGGTACCTCCAAGTCCGTCAGCGTGTTATGAATGTCCTCGCTGTTCTGGGCCATTCTGGCAACAAGCCCTCGAATGACCGAATAGAACGCCGCCTTTAGATCAGTGTACAACGATAGGTCTGTGCGCTTCCTAGCTTTGGCTGCCATCATGGCCGATCGAAGGTGCAAGGATGCAATGTCAGTGCCACGCTGAGGGAGACCTCCCTGCTGCACCACCGACAGCATGTGCAGCGATGCATCTAGCAATTTGCTTCTGAGGAAGGCATGGTGCAGCTTCGCCGTGTGACATCCTAGCATGATGCCTCTATAGTGTTCCAGGGGTTCGGGGGGTCCAGATTTGTGTAGATCGCATTGCCAACCTCCTTTGAACAGCAGGGGCTCCCTGGACGCCATGTCTATCTCCACGAACAGCGGCAACAAGATCTGAGTGCACTCTTGTGGAGCGACCTGGAAGAGATCGTTGGTGAGCCCGTCAGGTCCAGCTCCTCTCCTCTTGGCTGCCTTCATGATGTCATGCTTGAGTCTGCGAAAGGGGGTGATCATGTCCAACTCCCTGGGGTAGACGTTACCACGTTCAGGGAGGGCGTTGCATCGTTCCACGAATTCTTCCCAGCTGAGTGTCTGTCCGTTCTCTACTACAGCAAAGTAGTCCGTAAAGGCCTCCGAGAGATCTCCAGAAGTGGCCAGAAGTTCACCCTGAGGACCACGGCGGGTTCTCAGCCCCTCGACCTGAAACCTGGAGCGCTTTCCCCCGAATCTTTGCAGCTGGTATAGCACCTTCCACTCCACGCGACTCTCGTGGGAGGACCTGGCGCTGCACATCTGCTGCGCGAGGTCATCTAACAGTTTGTTGCGGGAGTGCTTCAAGGCCCTTCTCAAGGCCGGCTTCGACTTGACCAGGAAACCCAGCATGCGCACGGCGAGCTCACTTGCCGTCACCCTCTGAGTTTCCCATGCGACGAAGGCCTGAAAAAGCTCCGAAACCAAGAAGTCCAACTCTATATCTGCTATGTTCTGGGGGGGGCCCACCTCCAGCGACGTGGCGACCAGCCTTCTCCTCCTCCTCCTCCTCCTCCTCCTCCTCCTCCTCCTCCTCCTCCTCCTCCTCCTCCTCCTCCGCCCCCTCCTCCTCCGCCTCCTCCTCCTCCTCCTCCTCCTCCGTAGCCATTTTGGCTCAAGGTTATGATTCCCTCGGGGTCAGAAACGGAGACCTCTGACCCGAGGACAGCTTTCAGCAAGTGCGGCCTGTTCGCCCAGGTCAGGACCGCCCGGCACCCAGGTCGGGCCGCTTTTGCGAGCTCCAGCAGGAGCCCCTCTCGAGCGAGACGGCGCCACCATGCCGAGGCGCCAGACGTACACGGTCTGCAGCGGCTGCAGCAACTGGGTGTACGACTGGAAGCTGCAGCGTTCGGGAGGCTGGTGCAACAAGTGCAACGACTACCTCAGCGGGTGGAGCGAGCAGCCGTCGTCTGCGGGCCGCAGCCAGCGAGGGGCCGGCAAACCCCCGTGGGCAAAGCAGCCCGCCACGTCGCCCGCGGACGAGGTGCAACACATTATTAACAAGTTCCAGCTGGGGGAGGGCGCCTACGCCACAGCCAAGGCCACGGTCGACCTTGGCCCGCTGCAGGCGCTCCAGGCTCAGCTCACTGCCAAGGCGCCGACGCCCGCGGAGATCCCGAAGGCTAAGGCGCTCAGGCAGGCGATCAGCAACATGGACCAGAAGAGGGTGGCGCTGGCGAAGGCGACGAGCCAACTCGTGGAGGCGGAGCGCTGGCTCGGCGTCGCCACGGAGAGGCACAACAAGGCGCTGGAGGAGGCAGCGGACGCGGAGGAGGAGCACGAGGCCATCCTACGGGCGTACTCCAGCGAGGCCATCCCCTCGCTGGACGAAGCTACGGCTACGGAGTGGAAGGCGCCCGAGGTGGACCCCACGCTCTTCGACAACCTGGACGACTACGAGCCTGAGGATAAGAACAAGCTACTCAAGTTCAGGTCGGATCTGTCGTCCCTCGCGCAGCTGCTGGAGAGCGCCCAGAAGCAGTACACGGAGTTCACGGAGCTTAAGAAGCAGGCGGACGCCATCCATGCTTCCCACAAGGCGAAGAAGCGGAAGCCGAACACAGGCGAAGAGACACCAGCAGCGGCACCTCCACCAGCAGCCGATGGCGGCTCCAGTGCAACCGCTGGCGCTGCGGCGGTCAAGCAACCGTCAGAGGAAGAGGTGCAGCAGCGCAAGGACAGACTGGAGAGGCTCCGCAACGACGCGAAGGTCAAGGCGAACCCGAAGCAGGAGCCTGCTCAAGCTGAAGGCGCTGCTGCTGCTGGTGGCCAGCGCCTTTAGCAAGGTGTTCTTCTCGAACATCACGCAATGGGGCCCCAAGGCCCACAAGTTCATCAACGAGCAGGGCAACGACATGGACATCATCATGATGTGCGAGACGCATCTGGCGCAGGATCAGATGAAGCAGGTGAAGGTGGACGTGGCTAAGGACGGCTGGAAGTCGGCGGGCACAGCGGCGGTGCCCACGAAGCGCTCGGCGGACGGGACCTCGGGCGGTGAGCTTATCCTGGTCAAGTCCCACATCGCCTGCTCCACCTACGACACCATCAGAGAAAGGCTGCAGAACGGCGGGAAGAAGGACCCCTTCTACGGCTTCACGGCGGTGAATCTCCACACCAAGGCGGGCAACGTGGTCTTGGTCTCAGCATACTGGCTACCAGGAGCTGGTCTTCACGGACCCAATCGAGAGAGGGTCCGAGCGCTGGCAGGATTCGTGAAGGCGCTGGCGGACCCGTGGGTGGTCCTGGCGGACTGGAACGTCACCTTCGCGGACATCGCCAAGACGGGCTACGTGCAGCAGATCGGCGGAGCGCTGGTCAAGCCAGACGTGGAGGTCACCTGCGACAAGGGGAAGGGCAGCCTGATCGACTACGGCATCGCTAGGAAGGACTTCGCGCACAAGGTCAAGCTGGAGGCAGTCCGCACGGTGCCTTGGCGAACACATTGCGGACTGACGCTCACGCTGGAAGGTTCGGCGACGTCGTGGTGGCATCGCAAGATGCAGTTACCGAAGGAGCTGGCGACACCGTCGCGACCAAAGAAGAAGGCGGATCCGAACAGCAAAAGGACCCGCAAACGACAGGAAGAACGGCAGCGAGCAGAGGAGCGACTTGAGCCACACCTTCGGGAAGCATTTCAGGAGCAGGCCACGATCGAGGAAGCGGAGTCTGAGAAGAAGCCTAAGGACTTCTACATCACAGATGAGACTTGGACGGCGGCGGTGGCGACGGCGAGCTTATCAGGTTCGAGCTCACCACCTTCGGCGTCCCAGATTTTTCTCTTCGGGGGCAGCCAGGGCCGCGCCGCACCTCCAGCCTCCAGCGCGTGGCCGCTCTTCGGGAGCGTTGAGCCGCCTGAGGTTGTCGGCCCTCCTACCATGGAGGATAATGGGGTGCTGGCGTTCCCTGCTGCTTGGCCCGCCGCATCTCAGAGGACTTCAAGCTGTATGGCCGCGGCCTCCCACGGGGAGAGCAGCGGCACCAGATCGAGTACGGCGACTACGTTTCGCAGACTACGAGGACGCCGAGGTGCAGCACGCAGAGGTGAGAGTTGGTGCCTGTCGCAGGAGCTCCAGTCTTGGGACGACAAGCTCATCATCCGCGACACCAGGCATCGCGATGCAGAGGCAGCAGCGACGAGGATGTACGGCGACTGGGTCACCAGTCTGGAGGAGGCGGCGATCGTGACGGATGAGATCGACGAGGAGGAGGCTGAGTACTACCGAGGACGGGCTTCGGGCTTCGAGGTCAAGTGGGTCAAGGCGCGTTCGACACCAGGTCGCACCCACATGAAGTTCGGGCCAGCGGAGCAGTGGGGCATCCTCAACGCCATCCTCATTAGGTACCAGGCGCTGTACACCAACGGCACCGACGGCAGGCAGCAGGCAAAGTGCTTGGCGGAGGCAAAGGCGCAGGGCAAGGTGTTGCAGCAGATGGACCAGAACCAGGTCTTCGGCAGGAAGCTCGGCACCACACAGCAGCAGATGTTCTACGATATACTGGGCGACTTGTCGGACTTGGATGAGGGGCAGCTCGGCAACTTAGTCATGCAGGCAGAGGGCCACCTCGCCACGGCGCAGGCGCGAGGCTTCACGGCGCAGCAGAAGAACTTCACGGCGTGGGCAAAGAAGGCATGGGCAGGCAAAGTCGGCCTCCTCCATCGGCATGTGAAGGAGCAGCAGGCGCCCAGGTTCGAGCTGTGCACGGAGGAGATGGAGGGCATTGCGGACCCAGACGCCCTCATTGGCATCAGGAAGCACGAGTGGGAGCGCATATGGACGGACCCAGTGGACACGAAGGAGGACATCGCGTACCAGCTGGGCAGGCTGCGCGATCAGTCCTGGGAGCACGCGCTGGAGCCCCTCACGCTGGAGCAGCTCGACGGGGCCATTTCTGTGTCGTCGTCGGCCAAAGCAAAAGGAGTTGATCATCTTGGTCCGCACGACCTGGCTCGGGCCCCCAGGCAGGCAAGAATATGGTTAGTTCACATCTTACAGTATTGCGAGCAGGAGGTCACATGGCCGAGGCAATGGGCAGCCACCAAGTGCGCGCTGGCGGCCAAGCCCAAAGGAGGAGATCGAGTACTCGGTATGCTGGCCCTTCCCATCAAGCTCTGGTCAAGGGCTCGGGGAGGTTGCTGCTCAGAATGGAGTGATGCGTTATCTGCCCAGTGGGACACAGCCCTCAAAGGCAGCTCAGCCCTCCGTGCGGGGCTCCTCAGGGCGTGCCTGGACGAAGTGGGGGCAGAGCTCGGGGCATCGGCGATGACGCTACTGTTGGACATCGAGAAGTTCTACGACACAGTCTCGCTCGTCATCCTGTCCCAGATCGCCCTCAGAGTGGGCTTCCCCGCAGTGGTGGTGGCGTTAGAGATCACCGCGTTCGTGGGCCCCAGGTACCTGCAGGAGCGCAACATTCTCAGCGAGGCGATCTGGTCCACGAGGTCTTTGGTAGCCGGCTCTGCCAGAGGCGTGGGATTGGCGAAGCTGTTCTTGCACCCGATATTAGATAGGGCGCATCGGAGGGCGCCGCAAGCTTCGCTGTGGACATTCGTGGACGACACGGTGGCGAGGCAAGAAGGTAGCAGGCAAACAGTCGGCGATGGCATCATCCAGGTCACGGAGATCATCACGGACGGCCTCAAGGAGCAGAGGATGAAGATCTCCAGCAAGTCGGTCCTGATAGGCACCCACCCGAAGGACGTGAAGCGGACGGCTAAGACCATGAGGAAGAGGCAGATCCCCGTCTACGCAGTCACGGAGGCAGTGGACCTAGGCCTGGACTCGTCGGCAGGGAGGAAAAGGGTTACGACGAAAGCAAAGCAGCGTGCCAAGCGCGCGAAGCACAGGTTCGCCAAGATTGTGAGGCTGCGACGTACCGCGGCCTTGGCCAAAGAAAGTAAAGGTTTATGGAGTGCTGGAGCAGTACCACAGGCAGTGTACGGTCACCAAGCGTTCGGGTTCGCAGTTCATGAGCTTCAACGGCTACGACGACAAGCTGGACAGGTGGCAGGAGGTAAGGCGCGTGGGCGGTGCTTGACGACGACACTGGCGGTCGAGTTGTGGAAGGGCGACCCAGGGGTGGCAATACGAGTTGCCGTAGTCAAGGAGTGGATCAACCTGTGGCAGCGCTACCCCGAGAACCACGCCAGGATCGTCAAGGCATGGCCGCGGATCTTCGACCGTCTGTCAAAGCTTGGGCCAAAACGCTGGAGAGGAGTTCGCGGACCAGTCGGAGCGGTACAGGCGACCATCATGGACGTGGGCTGGCACGCACCAACGGCGACGGTGTGGATGCGACCAGTCGGAGCAGATGAAGATCCAGCAGAACAGTGGGACATCCCGTCCGTTATGGACGGCACTTTCGACAACACGGGGTGCTTCCAGCAGCTGATAGATGACTTCGAGGACGACATCGTAGCTCAATACTGGAAGGCCGCAGCAGCACACCCACATGGTGAAGGTTTGGAAGATGGAGCAGATGTTTGGCAGATCCGCGCTGAGCAGCGGAGGTTCGAGAAGCAGGGGCAGCTGGACATGGTGGGGGCCAACATCGTCGTGGTTGCGGGAGGACAGTGGCCGAAGCAGCGATCCGTCGACCAAGGCTACCTCCTGGACTGCAAGAAGTGCGACAGATGCAAGGAGGAGGACGAGACCCTGATGCATCGGATCTGGCTGTGCCCAAAGAACGTGGACCACGAGGACTTCACCAAGTCGGCGGCCCTGCTGCCGGCTGCGATGGCGCAAGCAGAAGCTGAGCCTGCGCTGTGGCTTCGAGGACTGCCGCCAGCCTCTCTCACGCACCCTAGGTTTGATGATGAACTTTTAGAGGGGAGGGAGGTTCGGTTTGGTGAGCTGGGGGACTGGGAGGAGTGTCGGCACGAAGGAGAGATCCACATTTTCGGCGACGGCTCAGGAGGCAAGCACTCCTCGGACCCTCGCCGTCGCCGCTGTGGATCAGCGATTGCAGCATTGCAGGAGCGCGACGGGGAGTGGATTGTGGGTCGAGCCGTAGCAGTCCCACTCCTCGGTCGCAGGCAAACGGTCCCCCGCTCTGAAATTTTAGCGTTCGGATTGGCGCTCGAAGAGTGCCAAGCTGATTTTACTTTCATTACCGACCACAGATTGATCGCGAAAACCTGGAAGCACCGCCTGGAGCACCCGAAAGCCACGGGTCCCAACGAGGACCTTTGGACCCGAGCCAGAGTTGCCTGGCAGACTCACCCAGACAGAGTTGTGAATGTAGTGTGGACGGCGTCCCATCTGGATGAGACGCCAGAGCTGCTTGGATCGCCGCAGCAGCTGTTCATGGCAGCAGGGAATTTAGCTGCTGACGTCTGGGCGGGAGTCGGGGCGGAGCTGGCTTGGGAGTTCGGGCTGGTGGGGAGGGTTCCTGAGACTGATAGGATAGACTCGATCGCACATCTCGTGCGGAAACGAGCGCGCAGATCGTTGCTTCTTGCCGCTGCGTCGGAGACGTCAGAGCGCGCAGATAGAGCCCCAGCCAGTAAGAGACTTTCAAAGCAGGAGAGACTGATTCGAGATTCTCCCCATCAGCTTGAGAGAGTAGGAAGCAAATGGAGGTGCTCTCAGTGCGATGTGATTGTGACTGGAGCCAGGTTTTTGCGTTTTTCGGTTTCCCCGTGTGCTGGGCCCCCTGGCAAAAGCAGGTCGGAGGTCCCTGAGTTTCAGCCGATAAACGGAGTGGACCTCGAGATCCACGAATCCCACTCGATCACCAGGGTCGACCGTTGGCTCTTGCAGATCTGTTCGGTCTGCGGGATGTATGCGACTGTGGACTCGAGGTCCTTGCGTCAGAAGTGTAGAGGTCTCACACCGAACGGTGCCGAGAATATCCGACGAATCGAATTAGGCCTTTTTCCTCGGCGTGAGGGGCCCCCCAGAGCCATCAAGATGGCCATTGCTCGCAGAGATGAGAGTCGTGTCGTGTCGGCCCACGAGGCCAGGGGGTCGCAGGAGAACAGCGAGCTTGCGGGGGGCCCCGCCGAGCCTCCCGTGGTGACCCGCGCCCGCAACGACGGGCATGAGCGGGAGCAGCTGCGTCGTGTA